AAGAGTTTAAAAAAAACACTTGTTAATCTTTGTAATCTCCTCAGATGACAATGCAGATGCCTGACAAACGTTGTTGTGATCATAAACTGTATGGATGTGATTACACGCAACACACAGAGCTTTTCCCTCACCATTGTAGCTTAAAGTGTAGTAAAAGTGGCGTTTATCGGTTTTTGCAAATGAAAACTTCATATATATAATATAAATCACAAACTCGTAACGTTATATAATCTCCTGATCTCACCAAGCAAATATACATTATGCACTGAGGATAAATCTGTCAAAAAGGACGTCAATAAAACACACTTACTTCCATCAGCGAGTCTTGCGATCACTATCCCACTGCCGCCCCTCGCAGTGATCATGAAACCCGCTTTGAAGACTGACAGGATGGCCAGTCCCTGAGCCTTGGCAATGACATGGGCTGGTGTCAGGTGGTGGAAAAGATAGAGGTAAATGAATATGAGATACTACAATTGGACTTGTGCAGACACAACTGTTCTGCATCTAAATACAAGTGCTGAAATGTGAACAACAACAAAAAAAAATTAATCAATCTGCAAATGCAAGATGAAACAGGTAGGCAGAGTTGATTGGTTCATTGTGTTTATGCACAGGTTGCACAGATATGGTGAAGTCACTGAGCGAGTTGCATTCATGTCACTTTCTGAAGACATGCATGAACAGATACTTGGCAATGGACTTGCAGAAAGACTGCTAGTCATGCACACAGATGACATCAGTCAACAGAAATGCTAACTTTCAGCAGTTAATAATAACACTTACATGTCTGGCATGGGTGCTATTACTGCATCAGGATTAGTCTACGCTCCTAAAGCATGAGGAACTGTGGCCCCAAGAAGTATTTTGACACAAATAAAAATGTATCCATGTCAATGCATAGAGATATCAATGTATCAATGTGGCATTTATTTTTTGGCACAACACACTTTTAAAAGATTTCATAAAAAAAGATGTTTGTTTAAATGATAAAACAACAGAAACATATTCAAAATGAAGAGCATGTCCATAGTTAATGTGATGAACTACACGGGTGGATACTTTGGGGGAACTGACTTCACCTTGAGACCACTGGTTACGTTTTTGTACAAATGGCTGTGGTCTAGAATAATTTGTGTGCAGATGCCACTTGGTTTGATATGTTCTTATTTAATGCATTGACGTTTCTAAGTGTTACTTACTGTAAGGGTCCAAATACTTTGTGGGTCCACTGTATTGTGTAAATAAGAAAAATATTACTCCTACTGTACTGATGTATTAATACATTATGTTAACTACAAATAATCACATTAAGATTTATTGAAAAATAATGAAAATGAAAATAACATTTTGAAAGGCATTAAATTAATTCTGCTGCTGTTTGAATTGTTCCGATGACAGAAAAAATATGTAATTTTCATATGGGTAAGAAGGAGCAATTAATCTAATTATAATTTGATGCTTTTTAATGATTAATGTAATGATTCACACATAAAATTTCCCTAAAATGAACATTTGGCATTCATCATAAATTAATTAAATCAAAAGTGACTCTTTCATGAATCTCTCAGTGCTTTTATGGTTTTCCAAGAACAAATAAGGTACTAATATGGTACTCATCCCCATTTTGTCTGACTTAGAGAGATTAGAAAAGAGGAATCATTTGAACTCAATTAATTTAATTAATTCTAAAAGACAAATGTTTTTCCATTGCTGTCTTTATGAGAGCAGAGACCAGGAATAAGAATAAGAATACCTGGAATAAGTTTGTCAGGCCCCATTCTGTTGGATATTTCTGTGAACTCTCTGAGGATCTTGCCGGCCTTCTTGGCCTCAGACTTTAGGTTAGCAGGAATAGGGTTATTCACTGTAAAAGAAACGTCAGAAGAAGCCTAATTTTCTCTTGTTCTGCATCACATTCCAACAATCTGAAACATCAAATGACTGTTAGACCAAATTTGTCTGATGATTTGCAACTTCCTGCATGCTTTAAATTCTACTATGCTAAAACAATTCTCTTGTGGAATCTATGTTACTTGAACCTGCAATACATTTCAAATGTCAAAATGATTTAAAGGCTATAGGCTAAATTTAACCACTTGTTGTTGACAAACTAGATATGAAACCACCACAGTGACCTGTTCGTCTGTTATAAAGTCTCTCCATTTTAATATGACAAACTCTTAACAATTCAGTAACACATTGAATGTCAGCATAACCAAATTGGTGTTTTTTTTTTCATCTCATTGATAATTGCACTAATTATATTAGCCATGCAGTCAGTGATTACTAAAAATGTCATGTGTTGTAACAAGTAAAAAGTATTAATAAACACTTTTTAAATATATTTTAAGACATTTTTGATTCTATGCGAAAAAATATGTATAAAAATGAATCACACGCATGAAACTTACAAGCACGTTCATCTAAAAGGGGATGTAATTCAGGTCACTGCATGCATGACATTTTTAAAGCATTTTAGAATAAATGATTAGATCTATATAAAAGCTGAGTGTCATGTCACTTCATCGATGTATTCTAGCATTCCTTTTAAATACCACCACACCCTCATTTTGTAACACAGATGCATCACGTTCTGCGAAATAATTTTTCAAGGATGAATCACTGGATATCTTGGGATGATCAAGCATCCTTCTGCTACAGATGAGAGTTGCTTTTGGCAGGTGCACGCTTTCTGTGGTTTACTCAGGGAGGTGCTTGCAAAGTGTCACTTTCAACGCAGTCTTTCCAGTTGGAGAATTCTTTCAAAACCAGCCACATCAACAGGACGATTCTCCTGTGACCTACTTCAATATTTTAATACAGTAATACCAGAACTGCCACCAATTAGGCCATTCTGTCCAGCTAACACTTAAAACTACATTTTTGAAGAGACTTTGACTTTTGTCAACTCAATAACCAATGATAAGTAATGAGTTTAGCTACAAAGTAGGTAGAAAGTAACCAGCTGACAAGGGCTGTTGCAACTTAGCATTCTTGAAATAGTAAAAATGTTAATTATGAACAACTATAAATTAATCACTTAAGGTTACTTCAGAAATATTCCTAAACCTCTTCCGCTACATACAGTACTACTTTTACATAAGGGTCACTAAACTTTTAAAAATAAAGGTTCTTTATTGGAATCTATGAATACAAGATGAAGCATTCTATGGATGTTAAATGTTCCATTCAAAGGTTCTTTACATTGGAAAAAGGGTTTTAAAATATTTTTCAAAATGTTCTTCAAACAAAACAAAAAAAAAGGTTCTTTTAAGAAAAGTTCTTTGGGGAACCAAAAAATGGTTCTTCCATGGCATCACTTCAAAACCCCATTTGGAATCTTAATTTATAAAAGTGTTCGGTTCAAAAAGGGTCAAAAATCCATATGGCTCATTCATATCCCTAGCATGAAGTTGCAGGATGAGTTACACACCACAGTTTAATATAAGGTTACGCTTTGTTCAAGTTCCTAACCCTAAGTCTGAGTAATAGTAACACAGATTCTTTTGCCTTCACATAAAAACTACCCCAAGATCAGGACATCACATGAAAAAGCAGATGACTAACAAAGAACTCCTTCACAGTTGCTACAGATTATTTCCAAAGCAAAAAAGAGGACCAAGGTCATGTTCTGTTTTTGTACCGCTTAAAGTGCCTACAAACCATTAAGGCCCAATCCCAATTCTACCCCTTAGCCCTTCCCCTTTCCCCTACCCCTCCGTTTCGCGCGTTCACGTGAAGGGGTAGGGGTGTCTCAATTCTCTTTTGGTTGGAGGGGTAGGGGTAGGGGAAGGGCCAGACAGCCCTTCAAACGAAGATTTTTCGGGACCACACTTCAAACGAAGGGGTATGAATTATCTCAGCGTAAACCGGCTTCAGGGGCAACATGGCTGCCCGAGCGAACAAAAAGACACATAAATGTAAGCATTTTTGGCATCAATAAAGATTTTAACGAAAAGTAATCATTTGTTTTATGTATGATTTGAACAAAACCTCTTCTATTTGAGCTAGCTAGAAAAAATTATATAGGTGACAAATCAGCAGAACTTGCAACAACCATCAGAGAAAAAAAAAGAATTTAATTTTACAAGGCATACAAATTTATCTACAAGATCAATTAATGTATACAGTACTGCCCCAAAATGGGCACCTGAAAGGGCAAAAGTGTTTTGTCAGCTGGACCAAAACTCTGTCACACTGGGCCCGGGGTCAGCAAATCATCCTTTTTGTCTGAGTCCTGCAACTAACCATATAATCAGCAGATTATAATAACCATTACCATATAATCAGCACAAAATCGGCATGCCAACAGGACTAGATTGCATGAGATACACTCATTCACAAAAACCATGAGCAAAACTACATAATATAAAAGAAAATATAACCCAAATACATTCAATGCAGTTAACAAACCAAAACAAAACATAGTCAATAAGCAATCTCAACCATAACCCAATAGTTTGTTTAATGATATCCTTTTAGGAATTATGTAATCTCTAAAATGTATCACAGTTTCCACAAAAATATTAAGCAGCACAAACTTTTGTCTGAGTTTTTTGTTTTGTTTTGTTTGTTTGTTTTACTAAAATCATTTTTTTCTTTACAAAAAGAAAATATGCAACAAGATGGAAATTATAGCTAGTTGAACTCATGAACACACTTCTGCTGAAAAATGATGGCATATGATAATGATGTATTCAAGTCTATCAAAAGTCATTTTTATGATTTGAATAAAACCTCTTCTATTTGAGCTAGCTAGAAAAAATTATATAGGTGACAAATCAGCAGAACTTGCAACAACCATCAGAGAAAAAAAAAGAATTTAATTTTACAAGGCATACAAATTTATCTACAAGATCAATTAATGTATACAGTACTGCCCCAAAATGGGCACCTGAAAGGGCAAAAGTGTTTTGTCAGCTGGACCAAAACTCTGTCACACTGGGCCCGGGGTCAGCAAATCATCCTTTTTGTCTGAGCCCTGCAACTAACCATATAATCAGCAGATTATAATAACCATTACCATATAATCAGCACAAAATCGGCATGCAGTAATCGTCCCCCAGATCGGTCAAGGAACGTAGCAACAAAGCTTTTTTGGGGGCATCTTACTAAGGCTTATTACTGTCCCCAGGTAATAATGGATGATATTGTTTTCTACCCGGGTCCTCATGCCTGTAAAACCTGAGCTGTCATACAGAGGGGGTGGACTAATAAATGCAGCTGTCATATTAAACATAACAATGAGAATACGATTTTTATGATTACTACTGTACAAATAATTACTGCTTACGCAGATAATTAGTCAATACCTGATTAACATGGCAAAATAAAGCATGTAAAATGCAAATACCTGGTACAGTGCAATTATATCTTAATTTGTAGTTGGAGGAGATAATGAATAATTACGGATGCAACATCAATCCAGAAAGAGAGAGTGCGCAAACATCTTTTGTCACTGACATTTACAGTGGAGGCTGCTTTAACACTTCAGACAAACAACTTAATCAGCAAGGTTTGAGAATCTTCATTCAGTGCTTTTTATAAGTAAATGACTGACATCAGTGATTCCATAAAATGCGCTGGACACATCTGAATATTTGGGTTGAAGTGTTCTGGAACAGTGTTGTAAATACAACTTAACCACTGATTTCTAGTCGTGTCCATTTTTGGAAGGCCAAACAAAGTAGTTTTGCTTTCACAACGAAAAACACAGCGGCCTAGCGTGAGGGGAAGCCCCGGCTTAGCGTGCGCTGAGGCCGGGCTAGCGTGACCTGAGGCAGCGGGGTCGAGAACGGCGCGCCCGGCGGATGCGACAAATGAGCGGCAACCGCATGTGACGACCCCGGGCTGGACTCCGCTTCGTCCACGGTGAAAGTTGATGTATTCCCTCAGCGACCAGCACAGATCAGCTCTAGGCATGACGAAGCGGATATCGTCCTCTTTTGGAAGACCAAACAAAGTAGTTTCGCTTTTACAACGAAGCACACAGCGTCTTCAGGACATGGCTGCAGCGTCAACAATACTACAGTGAGAATAAAAGTTACGCCTTCTTTCTTTGCGTGAACATTTGGGCGGCGTTATGCAAATCTTCCCACATAGTGAGGTAGACATGTGGGGGCGTGTTAGAACGAGCCGTTTTAGGTAGGCGTGGCTGACTCTGAACTTTTATAAAGAATATCTCTTTGGATTTGAGACTTTAGTCTTTGCAACTTCACAGATCTTCTTTATGCACCAAGAGCTTGTAACACTCCAAAGAGAAAGGAAAAATTGAAATCGCATCATATGACCCCTTTAAGGGGTCAAATCAGATACAAAGGTCAAGAGGAATGCAAATGGACAGGTTCTAAAATATGTCAGTAGAGTCCAAAAATGGTAATAAGTATGATGGACACCTTGAACTGTTTCCAACAAAAGTTCAACTTGAATTAGCGCTTAGTGATAATTCGTTTATAATTATAGCTTTAAGCACATTCAACAAATCGAAGGGACACTCCAAATCATAACAAGTTGTCTGTTTCAAGGTGGAGATATTACATCTATTTTCCCACAGGGGTTGAATTAATTGCTTTTGTCAATCAAGACCGCAGAAAGTCTGTATTATCACGTGTGGCAGCAGTGACGCGAAATAAAGTGCACATAATGCAGCAGGTATTTACGTCATCTACTCTGACTCACCTTATTGTAAATTTAAAAAAATAAATAAAT